AAAGTTATTTAATAAGACTACCATGCAGCTGACATGTGTTAACATGGTAAAGCATCAAGTATATAGTAAGTGTGACACCAAGCGCCAAAACCCAGGTGAAAGACGGGCCAGATCAACCTGCTTTGCATCTATGTAGAACAGAAGGTCTGGAGGGGATGCGTACCTAACCCAGTGGGTTTCTCTTGATGGGGGAGGGCCACAGAGGGGGCTTCCAGGGTCTTCCTCTTTCATTTAGTTCATTTTGTTCTCTTTGGATTTCTTATGTGTCACTTTCGTAATCAGAATTCTTAGTATCTTACTGACTTCCAGGCTTAGGTGGGGTGGAGGTGGGCTCAGTGGTAGAATGTGAGGCCCGGGGTTCAATCCCCAGCACCATCAAATACACAAAAGCTCAGTCATGTTCAAAGCTAGTTTTTGCTGAGCTTAAGTTTTTCCAATCTAAGAAGTCAGCACTTTTGATCAGTGATGTGAAATTTGAATATTTTTCTTGGTGTTCCTGCTTTGAGGAGGAGAAACATTTCCGAGTAGTAGTTTTCTGGTAGACTAAGTCTTATTACCTTTTTAAAAAATAAATGTTTGATTTTGTAAAGTGAATTATTTTTTAAAGGAAGAGTGGAAAGGACCGTGGCTGACCCGGGAAGAAGGTGGGACGAAGCATGAGGCTGAGGAAGGAGGTATGGCCCTCTGAACTCCGGCCCTGGCTCTTCCACCTGATCCTGGTTCTTGGAAGTTCCTCTTTCTTGGCACCCCTACCTCCCAACCGAGCTGGAATCATCAACTGTTTTACTCACATTGTGCTGACCACCAGCCACCTGCCTGGTAAAAGCAACTGCCCAGGGCTCAGTTCCTCAACTGCAATGCACAGCCATCACCCCTTGTCCCTGCGCTGCCTGCAGGAGCGCAAGTCCCTCACCAACCCGGACTTGCTCGGCAATCTCATGCGGGACCCCAGTCCTATCAACCCTGCCACCTGGATAATTTAATGCTTAGTTATCCTGAAAGGCCCCAGGTGTAGCCACCTTGGGCAGACAGGAATACCGAGGCCAGAAGAGCCACGTGACTCATGCAAACAGCTCATTGTGGCAAAGGCCAGTCAAGGACAATCTTTCTGGACAGCATGCTCAGTAATTTTGATGCCTGAGCTTGCAAATCACAGTGTCAGAGTGTCTGGAACGAGAGTGACCACACATCACCTGAGTTAGCTAGGGGCTACACCTGCCCGCTTCCAAATCCAGCTGTCCCCATTTAGACCCTCATCAATTCCCACCATGGCGTTTTTGCACACTGAAATATCTGGGTAAATATTCCTTAATGAACCGCATATGCCATTTTGTTGTCCCCTCCAACCAGGGCAGCTGCAGTGGGGGATTAGGAAAGGAAGCAGGAAAGGGAGAGGCAGGACAGGAGGGAAGACCAGCAGGAGGTGACCTCTGAGCACACTGCAAGTCAGCAGCTCCCAAATATCCTGTCTCAAAGGACCAAGTACCCCAAGACACTGCCTGCTCTCTCTCACAGGGCCAGTGACTCCAAGGTCTCCTGGACATGCACAGGGTCTGAGAGGACATGGGGCCTCTACACTGGTGCCCACAATCCCCCGCCTCTACGAGTCTCACAGGCCCCTCTGTATTGTGCACAGGGAGGACCTCCGTGTCTGCAGGACAAACACTACAAGCCTCATCCCCTGCACCAAAGATTCATTGAGCTCCTCCCAACTTAAGGTGGCTGCTGCCCCCTGCCAGCAGCATGTGACAGTGACATGGGAGAAGCCACCTCCCCTAGTGAGATGGATCCACCACAGACAGCAGAGCAATTTGTGGGCCTGTCAGATGAGGGAGGTGCAACTTTTTTATGAGGACAAGGCCACTGAGAACCGCTGACAGAATTGGCTGAAAACACCCCTTGATGGACACTCTGCGGACCTACACTGTCCCATTGGATAGGGACAAAAAACCAGAGTAGAAGCCAGGGGACATCCACTGGAGATGTGAAGAGGTCCTACCCTCCCAACTGCTGTACCAGAGACGTGCTGTAGGTCTTTGGGAGGCACAAAGAGCAAAAGCCCCTCATGATCTGTGAAGTACAAGGTCTGTGCTGGGCCAGGGGAGACTGAAGTGCCAGCCCCTCGGTGGAAGGACACAGCAATGGGGACGAGGCATGCGCCTGTAATGAGATGCACCCGATGAGCACCTATCAGCACTAGAGGAGACTGCTGGTTGTGGCTTGTCCTCTTCCACTATCAGCTCTGACCTCCTGGCCTTGCTCCACCCTGCCTGAGCCCTGCTTCCCCGCATGATGAAGTCTGAACATTAGAGAAGCAGCCCAGGCAAGCATATGAAGCAGGGGTAACCTAGACTTCTTCCTCTCAGAGGGAGAAGGGGGCTATAGCTAGTATCCTAGTATCCCCAGAAGCGAGGTGTTCTGCCCTTTTTATATGTCCTAGGCTTCCTCTGTTCTCCTGCCCTCTTCCCCTTATCTTTCTCCTTCCTGCTTAAGTGACTAGGCCCAGGAATGCTGGATGGGAGGGCCAAAGGTAGGACACAGGTGGGCTGAAGGGGGAAGGGCAGGATGGAGCAGCCCAGGACACATTAAAAACTGGGAGGGAGGGGCAATTCCTGGGACAGGTTACCTTGGCAACAGTTTGGAGCAGGGGCAGGTTCTCCGTAAGGGTGGAGGAAGGGCTCTGAAGGAATTAACATTTCAATCCCTCAGTGGGCAGTCTCCCACTTCCCAGACTCACTCAAAATTGGCCTCCTTGATACGACCTGACAGGATGATTTACCAATCTATGCTGACTGCCTGTCTGATTCTGGCTTCACTTGGTCTGGCAAATGATCTTGCAGGGAGAAACTGCAGGGCATGCACAGTACTCTGGTGCTCCTCCCCCAAGGAGCCTTACAGGACCCATTCCAAGACAGCTTAGTGCCATCTCAGAAAACCCATGCATGACTGATAACCACACTATTATATACTAAAACTTGTTGAGGCTTTAGCTGTTCTTGCCACAGGAGGTTAGACGACTATAAAAAATGATGAAAATGCTAATAGACTTCATTCTAGTAACTATTTCATTGCTTATCAAGACATGATGTTATACGCCTCTAATATGCACAATTTTTTAAAAAGCCCATGTGGGCTGGGGTGTAGCCAATGGTAGTGCACTTGCCTAGAATGAGCAAGGCCCTGGGTTCCATCACTAGCACCACAAAATAAGTAAATAAATAAATGAAACCAAGCTGGCTCACCCAGACAGCCATGCACTGCTATTGATAAAGGCAACATTTCCCACCTGCCTGCCAGGCCAGCAAAGGTGGTCTCCAAGACCCAGCAGCAGTCCCTGTCAAGGAGCACAGTGACTTCCCAGTACAGAGGCTCCTGATGCACCCACTGCTCTTCTGTGTCCCTCCAGCTCCTGGCCTTCACCTGCCTGCTCCTGGCCCCACTTGCCACCCTCCCTGGCAAGAGCTGTCTCCTTCCCTTGGCTGCCAGCCTCTATCCAGGTCTGAAGCGTCACAAGCCAGCTGGCTGCAGCCAGACCAGCCTTTTGCTTTGGGCCTCTGGGGCTACTCAGTTCACATTCCTCCCCAACTGGAGGCCACTAGAAGTTTCTCAGGCGCTTCCCACCCTCCCACCTAAACTGTGACTTCAGATACACAGATAACCCCCACTGTGAGCCAGCTCGGAATGCTGCAGGAGAGGAGAACCAGCTTCCTTTGGATAAAGGATCCCACCCACTGGCCCATTCACCTCTTGGTTCCCACAGTGCCTACTCCACCCTGCAGGTTTCTCTGACCAAGCCCCTCCCTGGTGTCCTGGTCCCCACAGCATGGCCTCAGGACACTGGCTCCTCAGGTCATCCCCACTCACCTGTGTGGCCTCCCTCCTCTCCTGCCACAGCCTAGCTTGCTCTACCTGGTCCTCCATGCCCCTTTCTCTTCCTCCCTCTAACATCAACAGTAAACGTTACTGTTACATAAACTATTTTATTTAAATAAAACCAAGGCAGTCCCTTTCCCACACTCACACTGACACATGCACTCACACACACCCGTGTCTCCCCTCCCCCTCCCCCTCCCCATCCGTGGCCAGCTCAAACCTTGAGGTTCTCATCGTTGCACACCCATGTCCCCTGATTCTCCTTCCCACCAGTGGCCACCTCAAACCCCAAGGTTCTCATTGTGACCTTCCTCCTCCAACCTGAGCGCAGGAGAGGCCTGTGCAGAAAGGCCCACCCCTCCTCCAAGTGCTGCAGCAGCACCCAGGCTGGGAAAGAGCTCCCTGTCCTTTTGGGGTGACACGGCAGGACCAGCTCTCCCAAGGCACCCAGATCTGTTTGGCTTCCCTACACACACTGGGAGCACCACCCCTGGAGCAGCTCCCCGAGGAGGGCTGGGACCCTCAGCCAGGGGACTCCCCCCCATCATGGCAGGCAAGGCTTGACAGGCTAGCCTAAGCACTCCCCAGGGACCGTGGAGTAGGGAAAGCAAGGGAGAGCAATTGAGCACCAATTCCCTAACGCCACCCACAGGAGGGTGCTGAGATGCAGTTCAGCAGCACCCACTCAAAACACTGGCCCAGCTCCACTGCAAGAGCAAGGGGTGGGGACCGCATCAGCCTCCCACATGGACCCCTCAGGGACCCACTAGCACCTGGGCAAGGTTGAGGACAGCCCAGCTGGAGAAACACCACATATACAGAGCCAGTCCAGAATGACATTCCCTATGCTGATAATGGGGTCAGGCTCCCTTCCATCTGGCAAGTTCTGCTACAGGGCACATATAACAGCAGCTCAGTTCACAAAAGGGCACACTGAGGGTGGTGGTGTCTCCAGAGGTGAAAGGTCACCAATCATACACAGGCAGGCTAGGACAGAAGGGCGGGGCACATGGCCGGCAGGACTCAGCAGCATAGCTAGGGCACCCTGGGAGCCGCCTTGGGGTGGGTGGGGAGCAGCAGCCCCTTGCACCCCTCTGGTTAGGGTACTCATTTCCTCTGATGAGCTTCCCAGGTGTTCTAGACCAAGTTCCCTGAGGGGCAAAGCTAGACCAGGAAGGAAAGAAGTCAGAAGGTGGGAAGTCAAGGGTCTCAGAGGGGTAAGGGGAAGGAGATGAGTACAGAGAGCAGCCTTCTGAAGGGGCCCTGCAGGACTGCCTCCTGAGGGGGCAGGGGAGGCCGAGGAGGCAGGGCAGGCAGAGGGCTGACACAGCTGGCCTCCAGGGGAAAGATGGGATCTGAGGGGCAGGAATAAGCCCAAGGGCCCTGATGAGACTACAGTGGGAGACAAGCCCAAAGCCCCAGCTAGCGTGCTACAGGCTGACACTGCGCTGGTGGCGGCCCCCTCGGGCCCCACCGTCACTGCCCCGGCGTCCCCCACTCCGGGGTCCCAGCTCTTGGCCGTCTAGACTGGCATGGTCCGAGAGGCCCCTCAGGTGCTCCACCGAGTCGCACTTCTGCAGGTCGGAGGCCACGGTGCGCAGGCTCAGCAGGCTCAGTGTGTCTGTGTCCGTGCCAGGTCCAGGCCCTAGGCCGCCGCCCTCCTCCAGCCCCCCACCTTCAGCACCCTCAATGCCACTGTCCCCGTCATCCAGGCTTTCAGGCCCAGCCTCAGCCCCCACAGGGGAGGAGCGCCGTGGACCTGGGGGGTGGGCAGGCAGGCCCCGGCGCCGCGCGTGAATTTGCTCGCTGATCTGCTCCAGGTTGCGCAGAGCGACTGAGTAGCGGGTCTTGGCCTGTGCTACCTGCTGCTCCAGTTCTGTCACCTTAGCCTTGTGCTCCTGCAGAGGGCAAGACAGGTGAGGGCAAGACAGGTAAGCATGGGACATCACTCGGCCCCACTTGGCACTCTGCATCTAAGCCATGGCCTCCTATCCTGGAGGCCTGGCAGTGCTGGGTACAGAGCAGACCTGCAGCACCATCCCTGTGTGCCTCCTCTGGTTGGTCCTTCCATCCCGGGGGTCCTGTCCTGCTCCAGGCCCACTCTGCCTTCTGGGGCTGTCCTCCCAGCTCTCAGTCCCCACCAGAGGCCCCCCGCCCTCTGGTCCTCTTCCCCATCCCAGGGTTTTCACCAATTCTTCTTCCCACTGACCTCCCTTCTTCAACCAGTTTCTCTGCCAGGACAAGCCCCATCTACCCTTCTCCTGTAGGGTCACTCGAGCACTTGTGCTTCACCCGGCAGGTGGCATCCCTTGACCTGCCCTCACTTTCTGTGCAGCCCCTCCTCCTCCCACACTCCCACCTGCCCATACCCCCCTCCGCTCCAGCTACCTCCAGGATCTGGCTGAACTGCGCCTTGAGCTCGAAGTAGGGGCGGCTCTTGCCGATGGCTCGCCGGAGGGTCTTCTGCAGAGCCTGCACGCGGGCCTCAGCCTGCTGGCACAGCCGCGTCACTCGTTGATGCTCCCGCTCGCCTCGAAGCCGCTCCTCCTCTGCCTCGTTCACCTGGCCGGTGTGAGGAAGGGACATGCGTTACTGAGCTGGAAAACACGCTTCAGTCCCTGGCACATGCCCAAGCTCAAGGGAACCTGCATGGGAAGGCCTCAGCAAGCCCCCCATCTGCAGAGCCGTCCGCAGGGGAATGTGGGTCCACTGGCCTAAGGACAGCGTCTTTTCCATCTTTTCTGCACTTGTTGCCTGATCTCCTGGTCTTCAAGGACCAGGTTTCAAGCACATGCCCCTGCAGCCACCTCTCCCCCACTGTCCCGCCTGTTGTCCCTGCACTACTTGCCACTCAGCTTTGCTAACGCCAAGAAAGGCGCTACAGCCATCTCAGTCAGGAACACAGAAGAAATGTCTGTCCTGGGCACAATGTCCACCCGCGGCCACCACAGTTGTGGCAAGGGGTCAGGGACAGGAGGAGCCTGTGGGGAATCACAGCTATGTATGGGGTTCTCCAGGCTTCCACACCCCAGGTGTACGCAGTCCAGAGCTACAGGTGAGCAAGGAGTAGGGGAGAGCTTTGGCCACGGTGTCCAGCAGGGCTATCATACCATATTCCAGGCAAGCACAGACTCCAAGGTGCCCACCATCCCTTAATGTCCCATGGTGCAGTTTCAATGGCCCCTCCCACAGTGCCCTGTGCCTGCATCTGCGTGAGCTCCACAGCAAAAGCTTGTGCCCTCTGTGCAAGGAGCAGCTAAAGAACCACGACACTGCCACTCCCAGGAGCTGGCGCTTGCCCTGTATAAGCCTAAGGTCAGAAGGAGCCCAGCCAGAGATCCTCCTGTCCCCAGTCTACTTTCAGCAGCTTGGAAATGATACATAAATCACACTGCAAAAATCAAGGTACATGGCAACAAAACTGCACATTGTGCAACAGAAGAAAAGTATCACAGAGCTCAGCCTCACGAGATGTGAGTGCTGGACCAGGACACCCACTGGGTGAGACCTTGGGGTCAGCCCACACCCAGAGGCGACAGCTTGATACAATGCCATTCTAAGTCAGAGGGAAGGGCATACAGGAAGCCCCAGAGGTCAACGGAGAAGGCTAGAGTGGTGGAGAGAGGGAGAAATGAGGAGGTAAGGGGATGAAGGGACAGTGAAGGAAGGACTAGAAAGTGCAGAGACCTGCTGGCAACATCCACCCACCTTGCAGGTGGCATGGTTGAGCATCTCCTGCCACGTGGGGTCCAGTCGGTTCTTGTCAGCCATGACCCCCTGCTCGGCCACAAACACCATCTCCCGGGCGGCATTGTGCATGCTCACAGCCCGCTCATACCGCAGCGCTGCCTTCTGTGTCTCCTGCTGGGCCTGGGGGGAGATGGACATCAGGACAGGGAGCCCCCAACAGGAGGACCCACCTCAGGCTTGAGGATGAAAGATGGAGAAAGACCAACTTGCAATGTTAGGTTAAATGCTACTGAAGTGGCATTCTATGGGGGAACATATCATAAGGAAATGGATGAGGAAAGAAATAAACATAGAAATGAATATTAAAATGAATGCTACTAGCCAGGCATGGTGGTACACACCTGTGATCCCAGAGACCGAAAGCTTAGGCAGGAGGATCCCAGGTTCTAGGCCAGCCTCGGCAACTTAGCAAGACCCTGTCTCTGACATAAAATGAAATGGCCCAAGGAGGAAGCTCAGTGGTTAAAGCACCCTGGGCTCAATCCCTAGTACTGGGGAAAAAAACCCAAAACCCCAGAAGGAATGACGCTGCCCATAGATGATGGCTTGTGAAATCCATCACTCAAGGTCTGCTGGCCTTTTGCCCTGGGAAAACCCACACCATTTCAGTTGGAAGGTAGTTAGCAACATGGATTGAGTCTTACAGAAAGTCACTCTCTAGGATCAACTCCACATCCCGGGAGCAAGCTGAAGCAAATGACGTAATTTCCCAAGACATTCATCACAATCACGTGGGTTGAGTATCCCTGACTCAAGTCCAAGACCCCACCACGTTCCCAAATCTGAAGCTTTCTAAGCAACAGCACAATGCCACAAGTGAAAGATGTTACACCACCTGACTGTCCAGGCACAGAACTGCCAAAGCACCTGGGTACACCAGGTGAGGTGGTACATACCTAAGCTCAGCTACTCAGGAGGCCGGCCCGGGCACTTAGCAAGACCCTGTCTCAAAATAAAAAACAAAAATGGCTGGGGATGCAGCTCAGGGGTAGAGAGCTTTCCTAGCATGTGTGAGGCCCTGGATTCAATCCCCAGTACCTTTAGGCAATGTCCACAGGTGTTTATGTCACAATATAACTGTCATGTTTAGACTTGGGCCCCAACTCTAAGATATCTCATTATGTCTATGCAAATACTCCAAAATCTGAACAAACCTGAAACACTCTGGTCCTAAACATCTCAGGAAAAGAACACTCAACCTATACTAACCAAGCAAAAAAACTGGAAACAATGTTAACTCAAGTTCTCAGAGAAAACATACTAAACAAGTAAAACAACAAAATATTCCTACGTCTTTAAAGGATGATGGCACGGGGGCTGGGGATGTGGCTCTGTGGTGGAGCATTGCCTAGCACATGCCCATATCATAAAGCTAAGTAAAACAAAGGACAAAAACAGCACACATTGTGTAACCTACTTTGGCAGAAAATACACCAAAGTGACTACAAAGAAAGCCCATGTGGTTATATGTGGCTATCTGTGCTGCATTACTCATACCTTTTATTTTCTATATTTCTCCATCATCTGGCATTGGGGTGCCTTGATGGTCAAGAGGGGACTGCTCCTCCCAGGGCTATAAAAATGCCTGGACCTGATTAGCTGCTGTGTGTGTACATCCTTCACAGGTAAACCAGCTAATCCAAGGCCCGGATCCCAACCAGACATCTCCTTTATCAAATTCTTACTCAGGCCAATACTTCCCCTGCCCTACATCACTACAGGGTCAGCTACAGACAACGAGAGACCACCCTCAGAGCCCAGAGCCCGGCAGAATTACGCAGACCATCCAATCCAAAATCCACTCAGACTCACCTGCCCTGCTGTAGCGGCTGCTTCCCACAAAACCACAACAGAGGCTCTGGGCTCGGCTTCCCCAATCACCTCTGCCTCAATGACCCTGGTGCTCCCCCATGTGGCCCTGCATGGCATGGCAGGTCCCCTCCTCAACTCCTAAGGCATGAACTCTTTCAAGGCAGCTGTCCCCTTGCCTAGTACCTTCCCACACTGGATTAAACAAATCCTGAGTATAAAGTGCATGACAGAATTGGGAGAGATTTTGGATTTTTCTTGTTTCTATTACAGTCTTCCAATGATGAATCCACATTATCTGTGCAAAGAAAAAAGATGGATGGGGGTAAGAAGGATGGTCAAGCAAAGACACAGAAAAGACAAGAACCAAAGGGAAGAGGAGAGAGAGGAAGTGGAAGATGTTGGCCCTATCAGATGCACCTAGGGCCTGAGCCCTCATGCACAGAAGGTACTTAGCAGCAGGTGGCGGTCGAGGGGCAGCTAAGTGGGAGGGCATGAGCCAGGCCCTGGTTCTATCCCAGCTATGCAAAACATAAAATAAAATCAACAGCAGCAAGGCTGAACAGCTTCTAGAGCAGAATGCACCCACCTACCCCTATTTTCTAGGTCTTAGCCCACAGTGGTGAAGGAGCCTTCTTGGCCCAGAGCTGATCCGAAGCAGAGCCAGGTCTGCCCCAGTGCTCTGCCCTCTGGGTGCAGACACAGAGTCCAGGCCAGGCTCACGCAGTCCTACCTCCTTAGCCAGCCGCCGAGCTTCATAGTAGGGCCGAGCCTTCTCAATACAGCTCCCCAAGTGGGAGCCCTGCGTGTTGAGCTTCCTCGCAGATTCCTGCAGGATCCTCCGATAGGTGGTCCTGGCCTCCTGGCAAAGGGACAGGGCGGAGGAAGAGCATGCACATGGCTCCCAGGCCTCTGGTTCCTCAGACACACCCATTCCTCTCACTCTCTCCATCTGGGCAAGACACCAATGGAGACATCCCTGAAGACCAGCCCAAGGGTGTGAAGAAAGAGACTCACGTCCAGCTGTAGCTCCACCTGGTTGATCTCCTCACTGGCCTGGTTTAGATGCTCCAGTTCCTCCTGCACAGAGAGCATGGTTAGAGCAGGGGAAGAGAGACAGTACCCAGTGGGCCAGGAGAGGCAGGCCAGATGCCGGGGGAAGGGGAAAGACATGGAGGAGGGACTGTCCCAACATGTCCCTGTCAGACATCTACTGGGTACCATCTAACACGACCCTTGAAACTCCACCTGTGGGCCTGGTAAACCCCCAAGTTAAAGAGGAGGAAATCACTGGGCGCTGTGGTGCATGCCTATAATCCTGAGGCTCAGGGGGCTGGCTGAGACAGGAGTTCAAAGCCCCACCTCAGCAAAAGCAAGGCACTAAGCAACTCACTGAGTCCCTGTCCCTAAATAAAATACAAAATAGGGCTGGGAGTGTGGCTCAGTGGTTGAGTGCCCTGAGGTCAATCCCTGGTCATCCCCCCCATACACACACACACACAAAAAGAGGAAATCAAGCTTTGGGGATAAGATTAATACATGCCCCACGGGGATGTCTCCATTGGTGACACACTGCTTTTAACCCCAAATACTAAAATGTTATGTCAACATGCAATCAACCTAAAATATGAACCATTTTTTTAAAAATGCTTTTCAAAATCCACTGCATTTGATCCTGAGGGCACATCCCAACTTCAGACAGTAGCATGTGGCTCTTGTATTTGATAGTGTAAGTCTAACAGGGGGAAGTAAACCACAACCCAGTGTCAGAACAAGCCACTCGGGACGGGCAGCCAACAGACAGGCTGAGGAGGCAGAGGACACCTAGGGAGCAGCATCAGCTCTAATTACAGAGCACCTCCCTAACAGGGACCGCACCCTGAGCTGACGGAATCACCCAAAGGGCCCTAGAAAGGCGACGCCCCTGAGGGTGGGAGAGGGTCCTTCCCAGTGGGCCAGCAGGTTCCTGACTGCCTCGCAGAGAGAGGGGCCAGTTCCCTCGACAGCTGCAGCGTGAGGCTCCTCCCCAGCTCATCCTGTATGAGGGGGGATGGTGACCGAGTCGGGTCTGATCTCATTGTCCTGACACTGTGGCCATCCTCTGGGACTGAGGCTGTCCTTCCACGAATGGCTCAGAAAAGACAGGACTGCTGTGATCACCACTGGGTAGGCAAAGAACAGGCCTCAGGAATGCAGTAAGCCTTTATTCCAAGGGAGAGAAGAGGGAGGCGGGCCAAGCTCACCCTGCAGTGCCCACCTGAGCCAAGCAAGATCCAGGATCAGATCCCCACCTGGTTCCATGACCCAGAGTGCTCCCCACCCCCAACTCCCAGACAATGAGGAGAAGGGCTCAGTGTTAAGTTGTCCCTGGTGGAAAATTGACAAGGGCTCTTGCTACCGGCCCGTGGCAGAAGCAGACATCATTTCATTACATAGGAACCAGCACCCCAAAGGCACTTCCTACAACTAACACACCACTTGCTCAGCTCTGCCCTGTGGGGTCCAGCAGACAGGAGAGGCAGCAGAGAGGCCTGCAGAGAGAGAAAAGGGGGTGCAAACACACAGCAAAGCTGAGCGGGAAGCCATCGAGCACTCCAGGCACCATCCTGGCCCATCGGCAACAGGCCATTGGCCGGCTCCACCAGCATTCCTGGCTCTCAGCTCCAACGGAACGGAACGCAGGGAGGACAGTCTGAGTCAGTGTGCCTCACCCATCAGTGAGCAGCAGCCAGCAGGGAGGGTGACCTTCCCGGGCACACTGGCTGCACTCTCAGGATGCCAAGCCACTGAGTCAAAGACATGGGCACTCAGGACAGAGGCTCCTGCCCCACCTAGTGCAAGCCGTCAAAAACACTCAAACAACCCGGGCACGGCTCCCCCAGCTAGACCAACACTTCCAGATGAGGACACACGTTGCGAAGTCACTCCAAGGAGTCGGGGGGGGGGGGGGGGGGCGGGCAAAAGAAGAATGTGCCCACCACAGAGGAGATGGAGGAAAACGTAGGGGAGACCCAGACCCACCCAGCACCACCCTCCTCTCCCCTTCCTCCCACTGCAACACTCTCTCTGGAAGCTGGAGAACTTTCCACTGAAGTCCCAACACAGGGACGCAGCACTGACCTTTCCTGAGCGAGAAAGCACACCACAGGTAGCTGCCAACCAGCCTCCTTCCACCCTCCAGCGTGGTCCCACAGACAGCAGGCATGTGTGGCCAAGGGGCCCCAGTCCACTTGAGGGCTTCACCCCATGGACAACCATTTCTGGGAACTTTGGAAAATGCAAAAACCGGGCCCTCTGGGATATCCATGTGGCAGTGGACTCCACCCAGGCTGTGCATTAGAGTCACTCTGTACCCCACATGTGAGAATCCAAATGACTGGCAAGTCAGGGAAAGGTGATTTTGAAAGCTCCCTTGTGTGTTCGGATGGAGCCCCATCCAATGCAATGAGAATCCAGAAAAACGGACAGCCATTTAAAGCACCCAAACACATCAGTAGGCGACGTGGTCTTGGTCACTGTCAACACTAAAATGGACCTCGAAAGACACAGGCCCGAAACTCCTCCATGTCCAGAAGAGGGACCCAAACACTGGAGGGTCAAGTGCCATGGCCTGTTCCGGGAAGGATGTCCCTCACACCAGGCTGCTTCTCCCACAGGGTGAGAAGACACCAACCCCTGTTGAGGCTGGCATGATGGCCTGCCACACTCATGGCCTCAAACGAGGGAGGCTGCCAGGGGCCTTTTCTCCTCATGGAGCCTGCAAGCTCCACAGTGTCCTCAGGACACTCCACCCTCGCAGAGCTGCCTGTGACCATGGACGTGCTCGGCGTCTGCACCTTCAGCACAGCACTGTCGGAAGAATCACTTTTTATTTTATTTAATTTTAATTAATATTTTTTACATAGCATGTTCAGAAGCTGCGGCCGCCTTTTCAGACAGCCTGGTGCAAGTGTGACTCTCCATTCTGTGCCTTTGCCTGTGCAGAGACTGGAAAATGCACAGAAGCAGGAGAGCAGAGAAGCCACAGCACTGGATTCTCTTCCTAGAGACCCCTCTGAAGCAGGAGGAAGAGTGCCTGACAGAGGCCCTCCTCAAGAACAGAGACCTCTGTCCCAAAGCACCACTGCGAATTCTCACCAAAAGACAAACAAAAGAATTTGTAAAAGAAAAGGACTGTACATCTGTGTCCAAGCACAGCCAACATGAGCCATGCAGGTCAGCCAGACCGAGCCCTTGCCTCACACATGAAGAAACTGAGCCTCAACTTTCCTAAAAACCACAGCTCATAGTATAGCCCAACACTGTTAATACAACTTATTTCCTTAGTGGACAAATTATCAGTAGAATTAGAAAGAACACTCAAGCTGTTTTCAATGCAGTGTCCATGAGGCACAACAGAAATAAATTACCCACTCACAGCAGAAATGAATGGCTCACCCTGCTCCATCATAAACACGGGCACAGTCTAAGAGCCACCCACACGCACATAACCTGGGAACTCAAACCACAATGGCCATAGGATGCCAGGACCAGATTTTATTTCTTAGCAACTCACTACAGTGATCCAATAAAGGTCTGCTCACAGAGAAACCCAAGAACTCAAGCCTGGGACACTCTTGCTCAACTAGAGAAGGGTGAGTCACTTTCTGATACCAGAACTTTGGCGATGCAACCTGACCAAATGGCAGATCAGGCACCAAATACAAGGAGCATCATGGTTGTCACCTGTCCAAGCACTCTCCAGAAAGACCTTCATAGCCAATGCCCTGAACATTACAACCCAGCACTAGAACTGAGGCCAGGGAGCTCCTCCACATGGGGCCAGTCTTCCTCACCCACTGTCTGCTCTCCAGCTGGACTGTAAACACCCAAGGCAATAAACTGCTCTTCCATTCCTCTGGTAAACCCCCCAACCTGAGAGCCGGCAACGTGTTATTATGGACTGCCCATGGCTGATGGAAAGCCTTGAACACAGATTACTTTCTAGGCCCAAACCCAGGGCCTCCTTCCTAACACTTGAAAGGTCTCACAGCCTACAGAAGGGAATGTTCCTGGGAGACACTGCTGAAAAAGGTAGAAAGAAGGAAAGATCCCTCACTCCCTAATGGCCCCTCTGCTCACCTAGAAAGAAGCACAACAGTTCTACTCTGGCTGACCTAAAGTGTGCCTCTGGCTTCCATGGCCAACCTGACCCTGAGCTTCCTGCAGGGAAGCTTTCAGCAACACACCCTGGCACTCAGGGCCTTCCCTGCACGTGCGTGCACAATCACACACACCTCTCTTGGCACTTGCCACACTAAATTACAATGCTGTGTTGACAAACTTGTTTTCTTTCCTGCCCCAGGATACTGGGGAGAGAAACCTAAGCTCTTGTTCATCTGACAGTTCTTCAGGAGGACTGCCGGTTGGATGTCCTTTCTCTCCCCAGACTCAGTCTTCTCACCTGTATTCTAGGATCCAGTTCTTCCTCCTCTCTTGGGGACAATTTGGACTCATTGCTGTTGCTTCCACCTCCTCCTCCAGGCTCCTCCGCCACTGGGCTCCTAGGAATTTCATCCTCTACAACCTCTGGCCGCAGCTCCCCCTGTGGGGTCTCCCGCCCCCCTGGAACCTGTCTGAACTCAGCCATGCTGACCTGGAGAGGGCAGAGCCCTATGCACAAGAGAGGACTGACATGCTGGGACCAGGGCCCCAGTTTGAGGGTTCCTGGGCTCTAGATGGCAAAGAGAAGTGTTTGTCTTCTCAAAAGGCTGATAAAGTGGGCAAAGGAAGAACCTCAAACTCAGAGGCTGAAATTCCTAGAACTAAAACCCCGTCCGGGCAAAAGTTCTTCTCTCCCCTCCACCAGGAGTCCACCAACACGGAACTGGAGCAACAGCTCCAAGGCAGGGGGCAAAGGGGGCCTGGATCCTGGGCCGAGGCCAGCGAAGAGGAGCACCATTCGGGAGGGTGGAGGAAGGCGCCTCCAGGCTGTAGTGCCAGCTGGAGAGAGAAGGCTAGGCTGGAGCAGAGGCTTCGAGGCGTCTCTGGGGAGCTGCAGGAGAAACAAGGCCAAGTGTATGGCCATGTCAGCATCAGGGCCTCGGCCACCAGCCCCTGTCTACCTCCCAGCCTCCCTACAACTGCGTTCTCGTCTCTCCACGCTCTTGTATTCCGCCTGGACCCCCAGTTTCAACTTCTTTCCTCAGCTCTCCAGGAACTGAGGTCCGACTCTGACCCCTGTCCCAGCTCCCACCCCAGCTCAACCAGCGCCCTCGGGGCTTCCCTCTGAGCCCCCACCCTCTCCTCCGCCCGCCCCACCCCACTCCTCCAGCTGTGCAATTCACCCTGTTACCCCCAGCCTGGCCCCACCTCCTCTCCTCTCTCCAACCCTGCGGAACACGAGCCTCCCGTCTCCAACCCTACATCGTTCTGCAACCCCGAGGACCATGCTCCAGCCATCTTCATATCCAGGCACAAAAGCTTCCCTTAAGGCACAGCCTTACCTCAGTTTACCTTCCCTTGCGCAGAGCTCCCAGGCAGCAAACAACCTTCCCCCTCCCTCCCCGCAACAAGCCGGTCCAACCAAAACGACGGGGCCTGGCGGAAGCGGAAATGCGCCAGCAGGTAACAACGCCCTCCCTCCCACTCTCCTTCGCCTGCCCGGCCGAGCGCGAATTCCTCGGCCTTCGGTTCCGTACAGCATGGTGCCTCGTAGCGTTCAGCCTCGCCTCCCGGCTTCCAGCTCGTTCTCCGCCAAGACTGAGTGGAAGCCAGACGTGAGCGTGCTTTTCTAAAGGAAAATAGAGTGGGTAATGGAAACCCAAAGTCCCTTGTGAATAGAGAAAGGCCAGAAACAGGAGGCCCGTAAGTGTCCGCAGAGTGTGCGCTGCCATCTTGCTTTACGGATCTTGGACGGCAACTCTGGGAAAGCCACTTCCGGCCCCGCCCGGAAGGGCGGGAGCGACGGCGTACGTGGGTCCGGGAACTTCCGGCTGCGGCCATAGGGGCCGCTGAGGTCCGGGGGCTGCGGTTGACTGGGAGGTCTTCTTCCGGGCGGGATTTTTCTCGCTGCAGGGGCGTCAATGGGACCGTGAGCAATGGCAGCCTGGCGGACGGCGGCGAAGTGCAGGTCTGTTTTGGAGGCCGCCGCCTAAGAGCTTCGCGAGCGGGGCTCGGCGTTGGCGCGGAGCCCCCGCGCCCCTGCGGCTGGTCCCTGGGCGGAGGAGCAGGCCCCTCGCGCGCTCTGGGCGGGGCGCCCACAAGTCAACCAAGTCCTTCCTCTTCCCCGAGGAGCCTGTCCAACCTGAGCGCAGCCGAACGGAGCTGTCGCCAGTGACTTCCGACAGTCGGGGACAGCAGAGCCCCTGCCCTGTTTGTAGGGAAGTGTTCCAGCGTGTCCAGGGGGAAACGGACGAGCGAGGCTGTGCGGGTCTCAGGGCAGTCAGAGGGGAGAAGTTAGTTGGTCTTAAAGAGGGAAAGAAGGCGTTATTCGGGATCACTAAGCATCAAAGCAGGTATAGAGACCATTGCAGGGAGGGAGAGAGGGAGCTCACTCCAGTTCCAGCGTGGATCAACCTGAAGCCAAGGAGCTATGTAGGGTCAGTGGGTGAAAAATTGCCAAGTGCCAACAGTGGGGGTTAAGGAGCGGGTGGCTAAACCAGCCTAAGGGTTCCTGGGAGTACAGGACTGGCGGTGGTGCAGAAGGCTGATCGGACACCCAGGATGGCGGCGGGGGTGTTCTTGTTAAACTTGAGATTCTTTGTTACACCTGATGTTACGGACACATGTACATTGGGCCTAAAATAAGGTTCAGACGAATGACTAAAGTTTGACCAAGCAAAGAGTCTTCTGTCGCCTCTCATTGAGACTGGGAGATCGAGACCTGTTGTTCCTGATGATTACCTTTAAAGGAATAGGTCTCAGATTCCTGAGAAGGATACCCCTGAGTAAACATCTCAAAGAGGTGAGATACATAAGCAAAGGGATGAAGGAAGGATTCACAATTGCGCTTGTTAATACTTAAGAAAAGGAAGTTAGGAGCGTCTTACCAGATAATGACTAGAACAAACAGTAATTTTCCTAGCTGCATTGAGGCAGGCAGGCATTTTAATGGGGAAAGAATTGGGGTCACCCTAGGAACATGACTATTGTTGCTATGGGCTATGTTAGAGTTCTTTCTTTTCTTAAGTGCAGAGGTTGGGATGGAGGTGTTATGTACCAAGAATTCTGCCGTTCTCAGTTCCCTCCTTCCATCCCCTAATCCCTTGAATTACCATATTTTTTTAAAATTTGGGGGACGGAGTAGGCTGGGAATGTAGCTCAGTGGTAGAATGCATGTCTAGCATGCATGTGGCATTGGTTTCCATTCCCATCACAGGATGGCAGAGAGTAGAATCAAATATATTCTGTTAAAAAAGGTGATTTAAATGAGATTTTTCCTTGAAATTGGAAATATTCATTTTAAAATTTCAAAAGTGACTTATACTAAGAGGTCAGCATTATCTGATGGGTAATAATGCCTCACTTTTCTGCCACATTCCTTATTGTTATTGAGATGCCATATATAATCCATGAAATTACGTGTAGCAGTTGTAAACATTTTTTATCTACCAGTCATTTCAATTTTGTAGAACAAGACTTTCACTGTAATGACCCCATTTCACTTAGTTTTCTGTCTACCCTAGCCTGAATTTTCCAACTTTTTCTATTCAGCATTATTCCAGTACCTATGTGCCCTAGTCCACATCTCCTTTTTCTGTGTGTTCAGTCCTTTCAATCATGAGCTACTACTGCTTGTCACAGATCTTTGTTGGATTTTAAGAAAACATTGTAAATGTATATACTGCCCAGACTCCCTAAAGAAACACCCTGAGATTCAGCAGCTTCTCCATGTCTCCACTGGCCTCCCAGTGGACACTCTAACCCAGTGAGTCCAAATGTAATTTTTATTATGTATGGTTTGTAAGATAATCCCCTAGTGGTTTTCTGCTGGATTTGGATAATGCTTCAGGTAGAAAGCGGTTGTAGGATACTGTACACACTAAACTTGTTTTATATTTGAATTAAAACTCTTAAAGCAGCACTGTCTAGCAGAACCTTCTACAACAAAGGTAATGTTCTGTATCAGACCTAAATGCATTATGATAGTTTGTAGCCACACATGCCCAATGAGCACTTGAAATGGAAATAGTGTAAGGATGTCTATTCTTTAAGTTGTTGATGGATCTTTATTTTATTTATTTATATATGGTGCTGAGAATTGAACCCACTGGCTCACACATGCTAGGCAAGTGCTCCACCACTGAGCCACAACTCCAGCTCAGGAAGTCTATTATATAATTAATTCATATTTAAGTTGCCATGTTGCCTAGTGCTTTCCATTATTGGACACCACAGTTCTAGAGCCTGCCTTTACTATATAATCTCTTTTGTATCAAACTTTCACATTTTAGTACAAAACAGTTCCTCTTAATGTCCCTGTCACTTGTCTCATGTCCACTTCACCTCCTTTTCAGCTCTGGGTGTGGATTTCCCTGCCAATTCATAAAATTACAGAAGTAAGGGTCATCTGTTTTCTCAGTATAGCTAAGGCACTGACATCTGACACTGGGTTAATTTTCTCTTTTATTCTTTGCCTTCTCAGTCATCCATGTCCTGGGTTTCCTATTCTCTGTGAGTTGTTTTATTTCTTCATGCAGTGTCCTTACTATTGTGTGCCACAATTTTGAATTATGATGGAAAAAGGCATTATGGTTCCCATGTAGCTTATAGTCTGTGGTGCTCTTTCTATAAATTGATGACATCCAAGCTAATTGGACCACAACACAGAAATATATCATTGTTACAAGCTAATGATTGCAAATGTGTGTGAATAAATTAATGTTTAAGGAAAATATGACCCAAATTGCATGCAAAGTACATTAATACTTAAATAATTTTTTTAATGCTGGTAGAGATGCAGTTTGTTGATTTTTATGACCCACTCACGTTTGAAAACCTATCCTAAACACTAGTGTGCCCAGGCCATGACATTAGCCTGTGACCACCTCCTGCCACCTGATTTCCTGCATGCTCTCACACAAGTCCAGCCCTACTCCTGTCTGTGGCTCTTTCCTTGAAACTGCCTCTAGAGACTCCCCATGGACTGCACTCAGCCAGCAGGCTCCCAGGCATCACTGCTTGGTGCCAGGCTTGCCTTCACTCACTGTGTCTAATCCTGACTTCATTCCCTTTCCCCATATCCTGTTCCTTCTACATTGACTGTGTTGGTGAATGGTTCTACAGAATTTGTCCTAGGTAGACATCTAGAAGACATCCTCAATGTGTCTCCCTTCATAGCTTCATCATGTGAAGTCTCTCTAATCCTTCCTCTCCTCACTGCCATTGCTTCAGCTTAGGTCCTTCTGACTTCCACCATGCACAGTGTACCTCAAGAGCCTTCTGGATGGGCTCTATATAATGGCACTTTCAATGATGATGGAAGTTTCTGTATTTACACTGCCCAAATGGGAGCCACTAGCCACGTGTAGCTGTTGAGCACCAAAAATGTGGCCAGTGTGACTGACAAACTAATTTGTTTTTCTTCTTCATGGGCAGAGAATGGGCACAGCATCTTGCCATGTTGCCCAGGCTGGCCTTGAACTCCAGGGCTCAAGTGATCCTCCCCCTGACTCATGGACATGCATGGCTAATGATTAATGTACTGTACAGTAGCATATGTCTAAATAATCTTCCTGCCACAAGCGTAGCCCCTCCCAGCCCCTGGCACAAAGAGATGGCCAACCAGCAGTCCTGTTGACTAGTTTAATGAAGGAAACATGACAACATGAAGGCTGAATAAGGATGATAGCAGTACCACGAATTGCTATGTAGTGTCACAAGTCAAGCTTTTTAGTTCAGTAATTTTCTTTTAACTTGATTGGTTATTTATTTCCTCACATTCTTATTTTAAACCGTCTTTGTCATTAAAAATTTTTTCCTTCTTTTTTTTTTCCCCAACAAATACAAACTACCCTTTATCTTCAACAACTTCTATCATCAGTTATATATTTAATAAATACCTCTATCAATCTGTTTAATCAGATTAGTTGACTCATGTTTAGGGACAAAAGCAAATGAGTGGTTGCCTGAAGAAGTGGTGGGAGGGATTGCAAAGTGTAATGAAAAAAAAAAAAAACCCAGAAGATACAGGCATTTTTGCTGTCCTTTCCTTGTACTGGGACTATTCTGCGCAATCCACAACCAGTAGATAAATTATGCCTGCATTTTACAGCTGCTGCCTCTTGGAAGTGCCACCCACTCCCATGGCTCATCCACTCACCTCTGACTTCCTGATGTTTGCAAACCTCAGACACCATGACTCTTTCTCTCCCCACCGAGGGTAGCCATGCTTTGGAAATTGAGGGACAAGAGGATTACATAAATTGCCTGAGGTTGTGCTGCTGGAAGAGGCAGATCTTATGTGAGATTTCAGATAATCCAGGTCTCAGGGATAGTACCTCGGTGGCCTCAATAAAGCCTCACAAAAGGACTCAAGGTTACTTAAAATCTTAACACACCATATGTTAATTTAAGTGTATGTGCTTACATTTTAAATGCCTGAATTTTGAAAATAACAAAAATTAAAGCTACTATAGATTTGCATTTGATGTCATTTCAGTTTATATTTACAACTCTTGCTTGACCCCTAAAGTTGTTTAAATTATAAAAATTGATATTATCCTACCCTGTATTTTATTTTGAGATAGATTTTCCCCTGAAACTTCTGCACCATGATTTTAGGTTTATTATCAATATCTTATTTTGAACATAAATTTTATCTTTTTTAAAAATTTCATATTTAAGGACCTAGACACCATGAAGAACTAGGAAATACTTTTGTGCTGTATCATGTTTATCTAATTTACTGTAGCTATTCACAGTTAGTTTACCCACATGATGGTAAAAATAAGTAGTGTCTTTTTGATGGAATCAGTGCCTGAGACCTTGGGCAAGTGCAGACTATAAGCAGTACAGACAACAAGCGATTTTTATTGAGATTACTGTTTACCTTAATTTAAAATGTGTGTTATTGATGAAATTTGTAAATTTTTGTTCATCCTCTTTTATTTCCTGAAGTCCATTTTGATCTGGATTTATAATATGAGACTTGACATTAATTAAAATATTCATACTTAAAAAAATAAAATCTGGGGCTGGGGATGTGGCTTAAGCGGTAGCGCGCTCGCCTGGCATGCGTGCGGCGCAGGGTTCAATCCTCAGCACCACATACAAATAAAGATGTTGTGTCCGCTGAAAGCTAAAAAAAAAAAATATTGAAAAAGTTTCTCTCTCTCTCTCTCTCTCTCTCTTTGTCTAAAAAAATAAAATAAAATCTGCAATTTGGTATTTAATTAACCCAGTCTTTTCTCATCATTCTAAATTACTGAATATTAATTTTCTGCATTTGGTCTTTCCGCTGTTGGAAAACTGTCAGTTGACATCTATGGAGTTATTTAAGGACGCACTGGAAGCCACTGTGCTCTAGAGGTGAACATGTTTTATTGCACAGGGATCTGAAATCCAAACACTTCAAGAAGGGAAAATATTGCATTAGCAATATAGGAGCATGATGAATGAAACCGAAATAGTCTTCTGTCCTAGTAGCATAGCAAGCCTTCTGAATCTGATTTTAGACACTGAACATCCACTGGGCTCACGTTTCAAACGAGGAATTTGGAATCCTCTGTGCTGTCCTGATAGCCTTTCAGTTGCCCTTTAGCTGGTGTTACCTAAAGCAGGTGCTCTCTGTGCTTGCTCTGCATGACAACTGTCTAGACTGTCTGCTATCTTTTTTCTAATTTGAATTATTTTTAATCGATATATTAAACCTCATACATATTAATTGGGCAATGTGTTGTTTCAATAAATGTATGTTGTGTAATTGTGCAATGTTTCAATCAGATAAACATCTATCTCCTGAAGCACTATTTCTTATGTTGAAAACTTTCCAACTGCTTTCTTATAGCTTTTGGAAATGTGCAGGATATTGTTGCTATCTACAGCACCCTCTGTGCAAGAGCACACCAGAACTTCTTGCTTTTATCTAACCATAACTGAGTACCAATTGGTAAACCTGTCTGTCTGAAACCATGGGCAGTGCCCTCTAGCCAAACCCCATGGCCTTGATACTATTCGACTCACTCCAGCATGGGGCAATGTCCACCACTTCCTCACATAGGATCCCAAACTTGACCCTGTCCTGACCCCCTCACCATCACCACTAAAGCCTTTAGTGGTTACCCTTCTACAGCTTCCTCCTTTTGGAAGAGTGATGCTCTAGGCTTCTGCCCTTAGCGCTTGTACACCTATAACCTCTTGGACATGCTATCCAGTCTCATAGCTTGCCTCATTCACCTCTAATTTCCTAGTTTTTATGAACCCTCATACACCCTGGCACTTCCCCAGCCCACTGAGGGAAGCCAACACGTGGGTCTGGGGTAGATTTTTCTACCATATTGCATGAATACAAGATGGGTATGTGATACTTTATTCATCTCTATATTCCTTTACCCAGCCAGGTGTGGACCGTGGGCCACAATAAGAGCTTGTGGAGAGCTGAGGAAGTAGCTTCATGGTAGACCATTTGCCTAGCATGCTCAAGACCCTGGATTTAATCCCTAGCCCTGCAATAAATAAATAAATAAATAGAAGTTGTGGAAGGGAGGAATTCCTTGATATAGCCCAAAATTTCTCTTAGTTTTCTCTCCTTACATCTTTACCTCCTCAATTTCTAGAACTCCAGCCCTGCTTCCCTCTGGGTGCTTCAGAGTTCTAAGCCTCTATTTTCCCTGGTATGGATTTAGTACATGCCTATTCCTTTCCTGGTCAGTCAGTTCCTCTGCACAAACCAGTGTCATCACATATAGTGGCAGAAATCTAGGAAGTGGAAATCCTTCACTTCCATCCACAGATCCCAATATGAGTCTTCACTGCATATTGAGTCATTGAAGTGTACTGATGACCTATGACAGAATTATTCTTATTTACTGTTATAGCACTTTATCCCATTCACAATGGTATGGAAATGCCTGTGGGGGTCTGTCTCCCGCGCCCAGCATGTCCTCAAAAGACAGTCTCTATTTTCTCTCCAATACTCTGCTCAATTCCTAGCAGGTAATCTGAAATGTTCACTCAGACACTGACTCTACCTGCAAGCTTAGAGTTTAGTAAGGGAGATAAACTATACGTATTATTTGAAAATACATAGTAAATGTCTGTAAATACAGAGAATATGTCCTAAGTGTCTTGTGACCTGCAAAGCTAATAGATTTTCAGTAAATACTTAAGGCATTGCTGAATGACCAATTCCAGTGATCTTCAGAAAGAAGGTACAGTTTTCATCTTGAGGGTGAGCTGGCATTTGAACCAACCCTAAAGGGTAATAAGCATACTATGACAGACAAGAAGAGGTGGAGGAATGAGAGGAGTGTATCCCAAGCTGAAGGAAATGTAAAAAGTGGGAGAGAAATGGTCCAGTTTAGTGGCAACTTGGGAAGAACAAACTAGAAGGCAGGTTAGAAGGTCACACCAGAAGGACAAACTTCACTTTTGACAGTTTTTGATCAGGAATAGGACACAATCAAAACTTCAGGGGGATTCATCTGGTGGTTCACTGTCTGTGTATGGAATTATGAACCACTGTGGGAATTGTCATCTATTGATGTAAATTGTTAGGGTAAAAAACCATTTGGTCAGGCCCTCATCATTCCAGGCCTGCATTCTATGTCTTGGTTTTCAGCTTTGCTATTGTCAGACCTATTCTTATCCCATGCTGTGATAGCAGGTCAGCAAATACTCACGGAGCATCTGTGGGTAGGGACCCTGCATTCATGATTCATGCTTCAGTAAGACAAAGGATTTTCCTTTAACTATGGTGCAACCTTCCACAGGCTACTTTAGACAACTATAGCAACGTTGCAGGGGAGCGAAGGGTGGAGAGAGAATTTCAATATAAGTTTAAGGAAATGGCAATTTTAAGGGTCTATGTGGAATTAAAGTAGAGAAGATGGAAAGAGTTTCCTGGCCAAGTGTAAGAGGTGTCAGTGCACAATGATTTAAGAGCCTCCGGATCAGAGCTCTAGATGTCTAACAAGACGAATGATTCTAAGTGATCTCGAAAGGAAAATCAGTGAAGAAGGATCTTGAGGGGATCAACAGTCCCCGCAAAGGGGTCAGCCAGGCTGAAACACTATACATTTCCCGGCACACTAATAGTATCTGCCAGAGGAAGAAGACGTCAAGAGTCTACGTTTGACCAGGGCGCTCTGTCCGCAAGCTCATGGAGAGGCGGTTGTCATGAATAACAGGGGTGCCCAAGCTTCTAGCAGTGCGACCCTGGGCCGGTCTACGTCAAGCAAAATCTGGCCTCACTGTAATAAGTCGCTAAACTACTACTGGAAGGGTTTGGAGAGGGGGCCCTCCGAGACCTGGTTCGCGTCGGGCACTGGCCGCGCCGGGCTCAGCACGCAAGGTTACTCCAACCGCTGGCCCGGAGCGCACCAGCTTCAAGACTGGGCTCACCCAACGCGGCCCGGGGAGTGGCGGGGGCGCGCGGTGCTCGGCGCCCTTTACTCCAATTGGCCGGGATGAGGCTCAGGGGCGGGCAGGCAGGCAGGGGAGGACGCAGGGATTCGCTGCGCCCGTCCAGGGGCGGAGCTAGGGGCGGGGCCAGGCACCTCCTCGGCTTCCCGCAGGGCCCGCTCCTCCCCAGGGTTCCTGCGCCTCCCTGGAGCTGGGCGGGCAGAGGTGTACCCCCCAGGCTCCCCAGCAACCCGCGACACCGGCCGCCGGGGAGAGCGGGCCTGCGACGTGACCTCCGCCCCGAGGCGCCTCCCGCTGCCCGCTCGGCGGCCGCGCTCCCCGCTCCGGTCTCGGAGTCCGGGAAGCGGGTCGGCAGACCTGTCGAGTGGGAGCCGCGCGGCGTCCGAGGAGCCAGCCGCGACCGGTGAGGGGCCGGGGGCCGGGAGGGCGAGGGTGGCGGGGACGGCGGTCCCCTACAGTTGCCGGCTTCTCCCCTCCGCCGCCACTCGAGTCTGCCCGGGCCGAAGCGCCCCTCGGCAACGCGTGACGTTCAGGCGCGGCGGAGCGGCGATTGGTCCGCGCCCCGCCGCGTGCGGCCCGCTCCGCCCAGGCCAGCCTTCAGCGCGTCCTCGCCGCCCTGCCCCGGTGACCTTCGCGTTGGAGGCCCCACGTCGGCGGCCCCGCGGGGCCTCGCCGGATTAAAGGGGCAGTGACGCCGCCATTAAAGGGGCAGTGACGCCGCCGGGCGCGGAACTCTCCTCCCCCCCTCCCTCCGCGTGCAGAACGCCGGGGCGGGGCGGGGGCTGGGACAGGCCCCGCGGTGGGAAGGCTCCCGGCCATCTACCCAGCAACTCCCGGCGCGCCGACTGGGGCGCCCCGATAGGCTGCGGGGGCCCACGGAGGCGACCTGTTCAGGTGCCACGTTCCTCATTCCGTGAACAGTCGTTCCAACTCCCATTAAGTACCAAGCACCGAGGCTGAAGGCGAAGCCAACCTCTCTGCTTTACTCGGGAGCCCCGGGTGCGCGGCCGCGCGGGCCACGCTACTCCAACCACGTGGGGAAGGCGGGGTGTGCGGCCAGAGCCTCCGCGGGGCAGAGGTCCGCGTGTTAGGGCCTCTCCAGAGAAAGGCAGTCCAAGGAAACCAGGCCCTCAACTCGAGTCAGCTGCAGTTCTCAAACTTAGACACTTTTCCTCCCCGAGGAAACTGTTTTCCCAGGCAGGAGGGTGACACCCTGAGTTCTCTGTTCAAGGTCACACAATTAGTAATGGAAAAACAGGAGTTAGGACATGTGCCTCTCCGGTTCCTTTAAACAGTTTGCATTCCCAACTCCATAGTATTTAGGGTGATGGAGAATAGGATAACTATAGAAAAAAGCTGGCTCCTCCAGAAACCTAACATTTGTGAGAACTGAATCCCAGCCACAGACTGAAGAAAAATTTTATCAGGACGGACTGCTTTTTTCGAAAGCAAAAGAAAGATGATACAAAAAGAAAAAGGGAGGCTGACCTTAAAGGTCATGGTCATAGTATTAGGCAACGATGCTTTTATTAGGCAACGGAAGGGCACAATTTTTAAAAGGGAAAATAGCAAGGGGCTACAAGAAAGAACTAGTTTTATAGGGTTTAGCTGAGCTGGGTCATCACTGGTGGGCTCCTTTAGGGTGGGGCAGGAAGGCTGTAGGGGAACAGTTGTAGATAAAGGAAGTTCCCTGGGGGCCATCGTTCTCCTTTCTCTCTGGTGTCTGTTTTCCATATCCTTCAATCTTATAGAAGATTATATTGCCTAGTGGTGTTGTAGCTGTCTTAGTTTGTGTGCAGTTCACCCGGATGCTCACAACAAAATGGCCCAAGAACATATTTCTCAGGACTTACTCCTGTCAGGAAGCCATCTGTTCATTTTTAAAAAAGCATTGAGTGCCAGATGTGTACACCTTGATAGACCCAGTGAGTATGTTGAAGACCTAACAGTCTTCCTGATCCCGGTTCTGGGATTCCTTGGCCACTCTGGGCCCATGTCAGAGGGATAGGATAAACTACAGTGTACGCTCTCTCAGACCTGCCTACATACCCACCTTCTTCACACTTCCAAGTTGTCAACAAAATCTTTGTAAAACCAGAACTTCTGAAAGAATGTCTTTGGCTCATTATCAGACATGGGTACTTGGGTGGAAGGGAGCTGTCATTCTTCTTTCCACCAGCTCTTAAGCATATCTCCAAATGGAAGGAATGTTTTCTCTGGAAGCCTTGGGCCTTGCTGCTGTTGGAGGAGAAAAAAGGAAGGCGGAGGGTCATTCTGTTGCCTGAATTCCACTCGCCATCCTCACCTCCCAGAATAGGGCTGGAATATTTCCAAGGTAGATGGGAATCACTGCCCTGTTACTTTGGCTAATTCAGAATAGAGCTGAGTGGTGGGGTTGGAGAATAAGAGGGTCACCTTTTCTATGGCTAGTTACTGAGAAGAGGCCTGAATGAAGCAGGCAAGGATTTTCTCAGTGGCAGGACCTGCACCTCCTGGAAGGGCCCCAAATCAGGCTCCTCAGGCTGAAATAAGCCTTTGCACTACCACCACCCAGAGTAAGGAGTGGATAATTTACTTCTGATTTCCAGATAGTCTAGGGATGTCACAGAAACCTGGAAATGGCATCTCTCAGCTTCCTAAGGGAGTTAGATCCAGCAGAAGGCACCTCTTCTGGATGCAGCTCCCTCTTTCTGTCTTCCCACACACCAGGTCCTGTCCCCTTTTGAACACTGTTCCATTTCCTAGACCAGGGTTCTAAGGTAAATGCTGTGCACATAGACCAAACCCCAGGGCCAGCATCCTACCCCCTACTCCCCTGTCCACCATACTTCCCACTGAACCACACAGTCAGGTATGTTGCCACTGCTCAGTGAGCAGTTACAGGTCAGCTGGGCCCTCTAAGATCCGGTGGGGGCTGCTTCAGGGAAAGTGACAGACCTCTCGTGTCTTCAAACCTACGTGCTTCTGCTGGATGACTCTGGGACAGGCCCATAAGGGAACCCCAGGTCAGAGGAGGGTAATGGGTAATGACTACCTCAAAGACTACTGGCAGGATGAAAAGGGGTCACATCCACAAATATGTAGCAGTGGGAGAATGTTTTGAGTGGTCACAACCAGTTCTACATGAGCATTACAGACATCCACTTCCCAAAAGAGCAGGTGGATTTCTTTGGAGTGGGTGGCCAGTTGCTAGAGCCTTGGAAAAGGCTCCTGTGTGGTTTTGGTGGCATGAAGTCAGGTGGACACAACCTTCCAATCAGAGCACTCCAGAGAACTTGAGGTGGGCTACCTTTGGTAAGATGTTACAGGATTTGGAAAGGTCATATAGACAAGTGCTATCCAATAGAAATGAAAAATAAGTTCTATTTGTAATTTAAATTTTTTTAAAAATAGGTGAAATTTTAATAGTATACTTTATTTAACATATATAAAATATAAAAATATTTTCCACGTGATCAACATTAAGCATTATTAATGAGATATTTTGTAGTATTTTTTCTTACTGTCTTTGAAATGAGGAGTTCATCTAACCCATTCAGCCCATCCCCCTTTGGACTCAGTTTCAAGTGCTCAGGGGCCACGTGTAGCTCTTGGCTGCTGGAATAGATGGTACAGTTCTCAAGAGTTCCCTCAGTTTCACTTCTTGCATCTTCTCTGGCAGTGTGACTGGCAGGTCTACGTCAAGCAAAATCTTACATATGGAGTCTGGCCTCACTGTAATAAGTCACTAAACTACTACTGGAAGGGTTTGGAGAGGGGATCCCCGAGACCTGGTTTGCGCCAGTCACTGGCCACTCTGGCCACAGCACACAAGGAGTTTTGCGAACTTTGTAATGGATAGAGATGGCAAGATGATCATTTGCTTCTTGTCAATTGTAACTTTCTGGGTCTCTGTTCCCACCCAAGAAGTGCTGGTGTTGCAAAACAGAGTACCAGGAAAGAGGATTCTTTTTGTTCTGACTGAAGGACATGGCTCAGAGGAAAAGAATTGTTAATTAATGTCCTAATTGCTGATTAATTCTTCTTTTTTTTTTTTTTTTTTTGGCAGGGGGTGCCAGGGATTGAACTCAGGGGCATTTGACCACTGAGCCATATCCCCAGCCCTATTTTGTATTTTATTTAGAGACATGGTCTTACTGAGTTGCTTAGCACCTCACTTTTGCTGAGGCTGGCTTTGAACTTGCTGTCCTCCTGTCTCAGTCTCCCAAGCTGCCGGGATTATAGGCATGCGCCACCACGACGGGCCTAAATGGAGGATTAATTCTAATGCCCTTGAAATGTAATTTCTGATCAATTAGTTAGGGCACGAAATACCTATTAAGACAAAAATAAATAAATGATATATGAAACTTAGAAGTTTATCTTAAATCTACCATGAATGTTAATTTTTCTATTAGCTTATTTTACTTCTTAGTACCTATTTTTATTAGTTATATGTGGAGAATTTATAAGTATTAAATGCATGAAACACTGAAATATTGTCAGTATTCAACAGTTAGGAATTCACAGACCACAGTCACCCCCTTGCCTTTTCCCAAGCTTCCCTGTACTTCATCTTTTTTCCAAAGTAAAAGAATTTAGCAGCATAGCAACTTTAAAACTTACGCGTACCCAGGGGGTCATAGTGAGAGTGGTCTACTGCTTGTTCTTTTTGGACACAATGGTACTTTATATTTTTCTTCCAGGTTTCTGCCCCATGCACAGGTCCCTTTGTTTCTGTGATGAGCACCACAATGGGGTGAGGTTTGGAAGAGAGACCTGAAGGCCCACTCTGGTACCGGAGCACCAAACCTGCACTCTACAGTGGAACCTCTCATATCCCATGTCAGTGACAAGAGGAAACGGTATTTTTGTTTAGCCACTGTTTAGGTGTGTGTTTGTGTTGGTGCATTTGTCTTTTGTTGGACATGTGTCCTGGAAGCAGTGGCCTCAGAGAGTGTGGGCTCCAAAACTATGGGCTGGGAGTGCCATGCCTCCTGGAGACCCCCAGGGAGGCAGGCCACTCACCAGGCCATGGGCATTGCCCTTTTGGCATTTGGGTCTAGCCACTGGGTCTCTAGGAATTTCACTCCCATGCAGGCAAGCATTCTTTTGAACTGATGTTCAGTGAATCAGCAGCCTGGTTGACTGGGTGAAACCTGGGTGACTAGTTGGTAAAACCTGAGTGACTGAGTTAAACCTGGGTGACTGGGTTGAAAGGTTCCCTGGAGGATCCTTTCATTCTGCTCATTGGTCTGCAGTGGTGCTCAAACCCTGCTTTTAGATTTTGTTTGAAAATCGTTATTTTTTTTTACTAAGATGGCTTGGATTTCTTGAACAAAACCAAAACAAAAATAAAACATGGAGTGGTGTCACAGATGAAACAGGAATGGAAATTGGTCACTGAGTGGTTCAAGATTCATTCTTCCTAGTTTTTTATATTTGAAAATATCCATTAAAAATATCTTCCCTAGGCCAGGTGCGGTGGTACACGCCTGTAATTATAGCAGCTTGGGAGGCTGAGGCAGGAGGATCACAGGTTCAAAGCCAGCCTCAGCAATTTAGCAGGCCCTAAGCAACTTAGAGATATGCTGTCTCAAAAAATAAAAAAGGTTGGGGGATGTGGCTCAGTAGTTAAGCACCCTGGGCTCAGTTCCTGGTACCAAAAAAAAAAAAAAAAAAGCTAAACTAAGGGTTATACATAATCTTCAATGTCCCCACTCATTGGGCTGGTGATAGACTCATGGACCAGATCAGGAGGTGAAGCCACATTTACATTCTTAGCTGGAGGGTTTGTGAAGTTGTGTGCATTTAAAAAAAAAAACGGCTGATCCTGCTTAGAGAGATGCCAGAGAACCTGTTAGGAATACTGTTGGAGATTTCTCACTCTGCATGTTCTCAGATCCCTAGGGTTGCAGCAGTAAGGGAAGTGTGCAGAGTGTTGACAAACTTGTATAGCTGAGAATTAGAAAGAGGTCCCGTTCTTTCCCCCAGCCTTGCCTGAAAATGTGGAATGCACTTCTTGGATAACACCACTAACTTGTAATAACTGTTTTGTGAATTTTCCATTCTTCCTTTTTGCCTCTCTCCTGGATCCTGACTTGCTTTCTCAACTGGGCATGTACTAAGTAGTTGTTTATAGGTGATGTCCAAAGCTAAGGAACAATTTTGGGGGGTTTCTCAGATACCTTCGCTTGCCCAGGTTGAGCCCCTTCCATAACATCAGATGTGTGCCCTTTGCTAGGCTATTGCTGCTTCTGTGGCATGCCCTTGTGCTTTAGTATGTGGCCTCTTTGTACTTCCAGGCTTGGGTGGTTCACTGTCCAGGCTTGGGTGGTTCACTGTCCATGCTCAGGAAGTGGTGGCGGAGGACTCCTTGGTATGGTCTGGCCTGGGTTCTCAATACTCCACCCCTCCTTGTCATTGCCTAATGCTTCCCTAGGCCGGACACCCGGCCTGCCAGTGAACAGGCCAGGTATTCCCATTTCTTCCCTCTCCAGAAGTGTTGAGGGTGCCGGGTTTCTGCACTGAACTAAACTCCCCTTTGAATCCACACCTTTCTGCTCTCCAGGACAGATGTGATCCATCCCTCCTCCCTTCCAGGTAGTACAAGAACACTCCCTTCATATTGATGGGATCCCCAGGATAAGACAACCTGTCACAGGAAGCGTTCACGTTAACCTCTCCCTTCCGACAGCGGGGTTTGGCAGCTCTGCTGGACTCACATGACTTTCTCCCCGCAGAGTTTAGCAGCAGGGTGAAGCTGGCCTCAACTTGCCCGTGGAATAGAAGCAGCGCCTACAGGTGACAGAAAGACCTCTAGAAGACACAGTTTTGAGGCCTCCCCCTCTTCCCTCTTAGGAAAACCAAAACTTACCTTTGGAGCAAGGAGCACATTTCCCTGCAGGCCGCCCCTCACCATGTTGGCGGCTTCAGGCAATGTGGCAGTGGGCAGACCCTACGCATGCAGCGAGTGTGGAAAGAGCTTCCGCTACAGCACAGTGCTGCTGCGGCATGAGCGTGCCCATGGTGGTGATACCTGTTTCCGCTGCCTGGAGTGTGGCGAGCGCTGCGCACAGGCTGCCGACCTGCGTGCTCATAGGCGGACCCACGCAGGCCAGACGCTCTACATTTGCAGCGAGTGTGGCCAGAGCTTCCGCCATAGCGGCCGACTCGACCTGCACCTGGGTGCCCACCGTAGGCGCAGCCGCGCCTACCCATGCCGCCTGTGCGGTGGCCGCTTCCCTCACCTACCTGCGCTGTTGCTGCATCGCAGCCGCAGACACCCGCCCGAACAGCCTTGCCGCTGCCCACTGTGTGCACGTGCTTTCCGGCAGAGCGCGCTGCGTTTCCACCAGGCGCGGGCGCACCCAGCAGGCAACCCGGCTGTCCCCACCCCTGGCTCGCCCCACCGCTGTACACAGTGCCCTCGGGCCTTCCGCAGCAGTGCAGGGCTTCGCAGTCATGCACGCGTCCACACTGTTCCCAGCCCTGGAGCCCACATGCCCCCACAACCCCGTCCTACAGACGTGCACCAGTGCACTGTATGTGGCAAGACTTTCGGCAAGAGTTCCACACTAACGCGCCACCTCCAGACGCACTCAGGTGAGAAGCCTTTCAAGTGCCCAGAGTGTGGCAAAGGCTTCCTGGAGAGTGCCACGTTAGTGCGCCACCAGCGTACACACACGGGCGAGAAGCCCTATGCTTGCAGTGACTGTGGACGCTGCTTCAGCGAGAGTTCCACGCTCCTACGCCACCGGCGCAGCCACCGTGGCGAGCGGCCACACGCGTGCACCACTTGTGGTAAAGGCTTTGGGCAGCGATATGACCTGGTGGTACATCAGCGCATCCACACCGGGGAGAGGCCCTTCCCATGTCCCGAGTGTGGCCGCGGCTTCAGCGATCGTTCAGACCTCACCAAACACCGCCGTACGCACACTGGGGAAAAGCCATATGGCTGCGAGCTGTGTGGCAAGCGATTCACGTGCGTGTCCAACCTCAACGTGCACCTGCGCAATCACGCAGGCCATAAGCCACACACGTGCCCTGAGTGTGGCAAGGCTTTCAGCGTCGCCTCCAAGCTTGCACTGCACCGAAAGACACACCTGGGCGAGCGGCCAGCGAAATGTGCTGAGTGTGGCAAATGCTTTAGCCACAGCCGGTCACTGTCACAGCATCAGCGGGCCCATACACGTGCCCGTGCTGCTGTCCGTGAGGCTGCAGGAGGCACGGACCTGGTCCTTATGGGGCCAACTGGACAGGGAAAGCCAGGGGTCTTATGTCCCCGATGAGGGTGACTTGCTGGGAGGCTTCTTGAAGGGGCCTGGGCTAGCACCCCTACAGTGCCAAGGGACAAAAGAGGACTCACAGGTTTGGCCTTTTGCACTTCTGTTGGTGCCCTTTGTTTACCAGGATTGCCTTACCTCTGCACTGACTTCCCCAGAGGCTCTTTCCCCATCCTCAGTCCTTGAATCTCCCAACCTCTCCAGGTATGGGGGAGGGCATCAGGACAGCCCTCTCGCAGTGTGCAAGGGGTCCCAGAGCTGTGTCCTGTTGCTGGCCTGTGTTCTGGTATTTTTCCTGTTTTCCCTCCTGTGTGCTGTCTTCTCCCCTCTCCTTACGCCAGTGTGCATTTCCTCGGCCTCTTTCCCCAATACATTTGCTGCTGTGCCTCTCTAGGTACTAAAGTCACAGATTTGGCTAGTTGCATCTTGCCAGCTCTGTGGTCTTCTTGCCAGTTAGTTGTACCTGTTAAACTGCTTTCTCCCTCTGCTTGAAAGATGGAGATGGGAGCCCAATTCATTGAACAGCATCTCCATGCCAGGAGCTGCTTGCTCCCTGGGAATGGTAGCCCACCCAGATGAGACCAGGCAGGACCCTCAGCATGACTATCTTCTGTCCCCAGAGCAAATTCGGGTTCCTATTAGGACAATGTTTTCCGGCCAGGTGAGGGACATTTTGCCCTGGCATGTGGGATAAGACCATGTGGGTTCACAAAGCCAAGTACTGCCAAGTGGAGTATCAGAATATTATTTCCAAATCAAACTTGGAACCATGGGGTAACAGGTTCACAGGTGGAAGCAGGACGGAGACTCCTGGAATTGTGACTTTTTGCTTGGTGAAATAAAAGAGTTGTTTGGGTTTTGGATGCCAAGAATCTCTTTGTCAAATCTGAGGTTGCTGTCTTCACAGACTTTGGGAGTATCCAAGAGCCAGGTCCTTCTATAGTTCCAAGGTCTCACCCCTTTCCAAGGACCTAGATGACGTGCCTCATCCTGGTCTAGCTTAGCCCACCACTCTGTGGGGACCCTCTCTCCATACTGTTACAGCCTCTCTCTTCAAGGATGAGAGTAGGTTTATACTCCCCAGGAAAGACTACCAAAGTGCCTAGTGAATCTGGAAATCAGGGTGAGGGCAGGTGAGAGCCTGCAGAGAGAGAGAGGGGCCTGTACCTGTCCTGCATGCTGGCACACTCTCACATCCAGCTCTCAAAGAAATCCAGCATTCCTACATCTCAGGTACTAAAACGTGCTCTGCCCAAAGTGCTCATGTAAAATACTTCCTTCAGGAAGACTAAAGTAGCCTGGCTCTTCAGGGCCCGTGCCTCCACCTGCACTCCCTGTGGCCTAGTTTCTGGGACCAGATATCTGCAGTTATCCTCCGGGCTTTTAGTCCTGTGCAGTCCCTGGGGACTGGCTCCCTGAAGCCAGCTGAGGGGGAAAGGTCACTGCTGAGGGAGCACCAGAGCCTTCAGCGGACCCCAGAGGTTCGGGAGCAGAGCCGCTGCAACAGGGCTCCAGCGGGCCGGGTGGTTCCTGTGGGGCTGAGCGCAGAGCTGGGTGACTTTTGCTGCAGTGAGCAGCCACGCTGTCTGGCCTCTCAAAGCGCTTGCCGCAGAACTCGCAGGGGAAGCGCCAAGCTGCCGCTGTCTCTGCATGCTTGCGCCGGTGCCAGTTCAGGGAGGCCTTCTGGCGACAGGTGAACCCACAGATCTCACACCTGCAGCCAGGGACAGAGGAGGGAAGGGGTAAGCCTTGACTTCAGTCTGCCTTGACTCCCCCAGGGCTTCCTGCTGGGCCACGCCTGGGACCCTCAGCACTCAGGCACTCACTGCAGGGGCTTCTCTCCGGTGTGGATGCGTCTGTGAATGACGAGGTTGCTGCTGGTGCGGAAAGACCGGGCGCAGAACTCACAGATATAGTCCCGAGTGTCTGTGGGCACACGAGGCACACTCCAGTGTCTGTCCCCAAGCCCACGGCCCCTCCGTGGCCCACCCTGCCCATTATCCCCCACAGAATGCAGCAGTCCTAGGGGTCAGTCCTGGTTTTGTTCTAAGGAGGTGCCCAAATCATGGAGCCTGTCTGGACTTCCTTTACATGGAGAGGTGGGACGACTGAGTGGGGAGGGGCACAGAATGGAACATCCAGCTGGAAGGCTCCATCACTGTCACACCCCTCTCCACCCAAACCCTGATCTCCCTGTGGAGTTGCAGCGACCTCATCATGGGCCCTGGAGCTGGTCTTTGCCAGAGGAATGGAGAGTTGTGTCCCTGTGGACAGGAACACCAGGCAGTAGCCACAGGATACCTGGAGTCAGGGGCAGGAAGCAGGACTATAGTCCAAGCCCCAAGGATACTTTCTGGCATCTGGAATCATCTCCCCATGCAGGCCTGCAGACCACAGGTCCAGCCCTGCTCAGGGCCCTGCGGAACACCTAGACTGCTGGCAATGACTGTCCTCTCCTTCCAGTCTGCTCCCTGCTAGTTCCAGCCACACCTGCTTGTTGCCCATGGTTACTGCATCTCCAGCAGCTCACAGGGACTGCTGTGGTTCTCCCACAGCCTCAGGCCTGCAGGGAAAGCGCTGGGCCTGCTTCTCCTGGTACCCACAGACCTCTTCCCTCTATCCTCTATAGACCTGCAGACTCCTCCCTTGTCACTTCCATCCATCCACACAGCTCTGACTCCAGGCCCTCTTTCCAGAGTCACTGTCCTCACCACCTGTCTTCCTCAGGTCACACTCCAGCACTGTGCAGCCTCAGAACTCACAACTTCAAGCATCCTGGCTACAGCCAGGGCCTCCTACCATGTGGTGCTATGATAATCTCCTGACATCCAGGCCTCTGGTCCATTGGCCCCACTACCTTGTCAACGTCTCTCTCCCCTCAGCTCTGTTTTCATGGCCATCTTAGGTGTCCTTCACTGATACCACCAATCTGCCCACTCCTCACTCCCACCCAACACAGGACAGACAAACTGGACCTACTCTAGGCCTGTACATGTGTAGGGGCATTGTCCTTCCTGTAGCCTCTTCATCTACAGCTGCAGCTTCAGGGGCTCACCATCCATCTGCAGTCTCCTGGCCTGTCCACTCTCCCACTCTCTAGAATCCAGAGGACACTCTGCCCATCTACTCGCCTCCAACACCTGGGCTCTCCATACTTGCTCAGCACTGCTCCTGTTTTCCAAGCCACCAAGAAGGAAGAAACCAGCAGAGTGGACCCCACCCTCTGCCCACCGGGCCATCAGCTGACCTGCATGCCAACCCTTGGCCACAGCCCTCAAGGCCCGTCTCACTCAAGGGCCCACTGGCAGGTGTCAACAAGGCCTGCTCTGTGGGCTTACTCCCACCTCTGCCCTGAGCCCACAGGCCCATAGGTCTAGATCCTCTCCCCATGTTTGCAGCAAACCCCAAGCTCTCCAGATGATTGTGCTGCTCCCACAGCTGCCTCAACCCATGGCCTGACGCCCAGCTCAACCCCTCCTGCCAGAACACTTTCCTGCGGTCAAGGACAGCTTCCCACAGCCACAGCTGGGAACCCTCCTCCCTGGAGCACTCGCTGTCCCCCAACCCTCAGATCCTACCTTTGCTTTCCCCTGCGCCCACCTGGCAGGCCCAGGACAGGTGTGCCACACTCAGGCCCACTCTCCCCACGTCTCTGTGGGACCCTCCTCCACCTCTTCCAAGGCCACCCATAAGACAGGGTTCCAGGTGCACCATGCTCAGGACCCCTCTCCCACCTCTCTGTGGGGACCCTCCTTGGGGGCTCCCAACACTCAAGACAGATTGGCCTGATGTGTCTGCTGTGACTTCGCATCTCCTGGGCTGTACTTTCCTTCACAGGACACTTCTCCCTTAAAGTGGGGAAACCTTCTGCCTGTTGCTCTTCTGGTGTCCTCCGAGCCACCCCTGACTCCTGCTGCCTGTCCCGCACGAGGCGGTTTCATCCTGCCCCAGCAGCCTTCTGGCCATCACGCATACACCAGCCTCAAGCCACTGCTCACCAACTGCCACGGCTGGTCCAGGCCACCATCACCATCTGCCCATCTCCATAGTTGCCTGGCAGCTAAGCACCACGCTCTACGCATCCGTGGTCCTCCTACTTTCCACACAGCATTGTGACCTGGCCTTTGTCTCGTCTCACTGGAGGCAGGAGCCACATTGTCCTGCAGTGGTCTCCAAGGCCACCACTCCTGTGAGCTTCCTCCCTAACCTCCTGGCCTCCTCCCTCCCCGAGAGCACCACAGGTGAGACCAAACGCCTCCCCCATGCTTGGTCCTAGGACTGAGGAGGGTCTCCACACTGTCTTCACTCAGGGCTCGCTCAGGCTTCACTTCCTACTGCAGCAAGCCTCCTCGCTGCCCTAGCATCACTTCTTGTCATTCTTCATCACTAAGTGGGTGCTTGTGGGCTGAGGGCTTCCTGCTGTGCACTGCTGTACCCAGCCCCGGGCACAGTCCAAGCAGACCAGGGCTAAATTCACAGGGATGCAGGGCGACCCTAGAGCCACCCTCAGAGGGAAGAGCAGGTTCACAGAGAGAGAGGGTGTCCCCCGGGGGAGGGGAGGCCCCAGAGGGAGAAGGTGAAGGACATGGGGAGAAGGTGAAAGCGTGGGGCAGGTGAAGATGGAGGCCCAGGGGGAGGTGAAGACCACAGGGGAAGGGGAAGGACACAAGGGACAGGAAAGGACACAGAGGGAAGACAAGGGACACTGTGTGTGTGGGGGGGCAGAGACAGACGAAGTGGACCCCAGCACTCACCACTGTGCAGCTTCACGTGCTCCTTCAGGTGCTTCTTAAAGTTGAAGGACTTCCCACAGGCGGGCTCCGGGCAGCAGAAGGACTTCTGGTGAATGTGCTGGTACTTCTTGTGGTGCTGAGGAGGAAGGGGTGGCAGGGGAGGAGGGCCAGGAGGATGACTGCCTTCCTCAGGGAGACGGACCGAGCTGACGGGCAGGCAGGCACCTCTGCCACCTCCCGCACCACAGCCCTGTCACGGCCTGGTCACGCCACCTATCCTCGCCTGCACCAGGAGCAGCGCCACATCCATCCCACACTGACCACTCTGCTGTGCCCCACCCACCCTATCCTGACATGGACTCCCACTTGGTCATCTCTTCAGCGCGATGCCCCACAGTGGCCCTGTGACACTCCTGCCCACCTACCACGGACTCACTGTTGGAGGGGAGAGTGGTCTAGGTGAATGTGGCTGTCCTCTTCCATGTCAGTACTAATGGACAACACACCCTCGACCACCTGACAGCTCAGCCACTGATGCACACTAATGTCATATGAATATGTGGTTCCCTTCTAACCTGCTTAGAAACACACACACCACAGCCTCCCAGTGGAGAGTACTGTTAGAGGTAAGGGGTTCTCTCTGACCCTCCCTCTGGCAGTGCTGGGGACCAAACCCAGGACCTGACATATGCCAGGCAAGCGCTTGCCACAGGGCTACACCCCATGCCCAGGAGATGGGCTCTCAGATCTCCATGCCCCCATCATGAGTACTTCCTGTCATCTAAGCTAATTCCCACCCTAGCTGTCCCTTGCACCACCATCCTGTTTAGCCACAGTTCAACCTCTGGAGCAGCCTCGGCCTCCCACACAGCCAGCTCAGGTGTCTGCCCCTGCCAGGGCTCTGCTCAGCTACTGGCACTCAGGCACCCCCATGACTCCCATGTGGCCTCCTGTAGAGACATTCTCTGGTCCCTCCCACTCACACCACAGTCAGGACCCACTCTGCCATGGGCTCTGGCCAACTGTGGGTCCTGGTCCTCTTCCCCACTGTTCCTCAAACTTCCTGGGCAGAGAGGCTGGGGACAGGACCGCTGCCCAGTCCTTCTAGTCATCACTTCTCGGCCTTTTGG